TGTTCACGTGCTCAAAACAGTTCCATTCCCATCTGGATATCTGTTCAACTTGCTCAAAACAGTTACATTCCCATCTGGATATCTGTTCAACGGGCTCAAAACAGTTACATTCCAATCTGGATATCTGTTCAACGGGCTCAAAACAGTTACATTCCCATCTGGATATCTGTTCAACGGGCTCAAAACAGTTACATTCCAATCTGGATATATGTTCAACGGGCTCAAAACAGTTACATTCCCATCTGGATATCTGTTCAACGGGCTCAAAACAGTTACATTCCCATCTGGATATCTGTTCAACGTGCTCAAAACAATTCCATTCCCATCTGGAGATCTGCTCCATATATGGATAAATGTAACTTTCAGGGTAATGGATATTTAAACAAAAAAAGATCTCAATGACCAACCACGTGGCATTAAAGATGGATCTTTCCAGCGTTTGACTCTGGACTAGATTGAGAGTTACAAAAAGGGGAGGGGGATAGTGGTCAAAGAGGAATGTAGGGGACTGATGGCTTTTGGTTTAATTTTTAGGAGAGAATCGTGGGATATTTCAATGGATACGTTAGCAGATCGCACTATCCTGGTCTGGACACGTGTCTAGATCTTACCTGGGTTTGTAAGTCAGGACCTGGAGTTGTAAGTCAGGACCTGGAGTTGTAAGTCAGAACCTGGAGTTGTAAGTCAGGACCTGGAGTTGTAAGTCAGGACCTGGAGTTGTAAGTCAGGACCTGGAGTTGTAAGTCAGGACCTGGACTTGTCTTCTGGTGATTCCACGCCGACGCCCCGGGCAATGCGCATTGTCACGTGATTATGTATGATAAACATTTTAGTTTAAACAGGGACAGTTCGGATAGCCGACGTTACTGATAATCAAAGTTTGGAAAATCGACGCACTGCTGTATACTTGACGAGGTTTCAATGAATTTTTAAATATTTTTTTTTTCCATTCAAGCTCAACCTTCATAGAATCAGCTTCATTAAAAAATATATTTTTTAAACATGTGACATAAACATGTGACATAAACATGTGACATTAAATAGTGAAATAAACATGCGACATAAACATGTTCATGTGACATAAACATGTGACATAAACATGTGACATAATCATGTGACATAATCATGTGACATAAACATGTTACATAAACATGTGACATAAACATGCGACATAAACATGCGACATAAACATGCGACATAAACATGTGACATAAACATGTGACATAAACATGCGACATAAACATGCGACAGAATCATGTGACATAAACATGCGACATAAACATGCGACATAAACATCCGACATAAACATGCGACATAAACATGTGACATAAACATGTCACTTTGTTACATGACACAAACGTTTCGGATAACTGACGTTCGGAAAATCGGCGCGCTCCAGTAACATTGTACAAAACTTAACCTAAAGCCAGAGCGGGGTACCATCAATGCTAACATAACAGGGCTGCTAACTGCTCTGGTCCCATCGGAGCGGGGTACCATCAATGCTAACATAACAGGGCTGCTAACTGCTCTGGTCCCATCGGAGCGGGGTACCATCAATGCTAACATAACAGGGCTGCTAACTGCTCTGGTCCCATCAGAGAGGGGTGCCATCAATGCAGGCTGCTAACATAACAGGGCTGCTAACTGCTCTGGTCCCACCAGAGAGGGGTGCCATCAATGCCGTCTGCTAACATAACAGGGCTGCTAGCTGCTCTGGTCCCATCAGAGAGGGGTGCCATCAATGCAGGCTGCTAACATAACAGGGCTGCTAACTGCTCCGCTCCCATCAGAGAGGGGTGCCACCAGAGAAGGGTGTCGCCAGAGCAGGCAGACTTTGGGGAAGTTTACTGGAGGGATGGAGCAAATGGCAGGGGTGCAATCACGTTACGCCAGACTGACTTGACAAGATGGATTCAACAACCCGTCAAGCCAAGTTTTTCCCTATAAATCCTTTATAAAACTTAATAGCGAGCAATGGAAAGGGGCTCAAAATTCGACAAAACATGCAGTGCCTACAAGTAAAGCACTTTATAAGAATCCCAATTAGTGCGCCCCCCCCCCCAACTCTCGCAACCGCACATTTTTCACGCCCCTGAACTATATTAATATTCTAGTGACCCAAAAGCTTTTACACAGTAGATTTATTTCAGCAACTATTTCAGAAAAAAAAAAAATATTACTCACAAGACACACTTGCGAAAAAAAAAAAATGAATCTCATCTAGTGCAGTTTTCAAGAATTTTATTTCGTGAAATTGATGTCATCATATTTCCTTCATCTTCCCCTTGAAAAGAGGTAATTTTTTTGGGCGGGTGGTGGGGAGAGGGGTGGGTTTGGGTGTTGGGGCTGAAAATTTGATTGAAAAATAAAAAAAAATTGACTCGGCAACGAGTGTGTGTGATAATTTTCAGCTCGATAGGTTGACGGGAAGTAAGTCAATTAGCCGTGGGAAGATTTTACCAGCCAGCCAAGAACAAAAGCGAAGTTAATGTAAAAGATTTAAAAAGAGGGCAATACTTGAGCGTATTGTGCGTTTCCCTTCTGACCTCGAGATCACATCAAGAGCCGCCAAGAAAGTAGCCGATGTGTTTGAGGCTGTTGAAGCTCAGATTCTACCAGTTGGTGACTGAAGAGCATTTCCCGGTTTCCATTTCTAAAGCGACCACTTTCTATGATAAGTTACCTGAAAGTGAACCGCTTAAAAAAAAAATTGAAATGCCAAGGCTGGGAAGGTATCATAAAGTAGCAGGTAGTAGGTAATCTTGACGTAGCCAAAGATTGGTCAATATAATTTGAAGTCTTGACATTCGTAGTTGACTAGGACACCCTACAAGCCCTCCCAAAACTCTCGTGAAGGCATTAAGGTTCTACAATATTATTTATCACGATATGCGTCTGTGGCTTAATGAAAGGTGAGTTGTTTTTTTTAAATCTTAAACTTATCAACAAATAACCATTTGTTCATTCTACAGCTAAACAGTCCAGGCATTCTGGTTTAGTGATTTTGTGGAGTTTGTCTTTTGAAAGTCATAAGATGAAGAATGAAGAATGCTGATTTGGTCTGCTGAAAGTAATAAGGCAAAGAATGTTGATTTTGTCTATTGAAAGTAATAAGGCGAAAAATGTTGATTTTGTTTATTGAAAGTAATAAGGTGAAGAATGGATTTTTACCTATTGAACATTTTAAGGCGAAAAATGTTGATTTTGTTTATTGAAAGTAATAAGGTGAAGAATGGATTTTTACCTATTGAACATTTTAAGGCGAAGAATGTTGATTTTGTCTATTGAAAGTTATAAAAATCGAAGAATGTTGATTTTGTCTATTGAAAGTTATAAAAAGCGAAGAATGTTGATTTTGTCTATTGAAAATTATAGGGCGAAGAATGTTGATTTGGCTATTGAAATTTATAAGGCGAAGAGAGTTGACAATGATAAGTGATTAACCTGTTTTCATCTTTCAAGACAGGACTGTTAAGTATATTCATTATTGTTTCAATAAAAAGAAATTGTGTTGCATTTTTGTTAACGATGCTTGAACCTCAAATGATTATGTTTTCTTCTTATATCGTTTTTTGCTTTATGAATTAATTCACAAACAATGCTATAAGCGGCTCTTTACGATCTGGTTACCAATGACTCGCTACTCATCACGTGGGGAGTGCGTGACACCAGGAGTTAACCACATCGGGCTACACCAAACCTAGTGACACCTCTCCCTGTACTACCGCACCGGGCTACACCAAACCTAGTGACACCTCTCCCTGTACTACCGCACCGGGCTACACCAAACTAAGTGACGCCTCTCCCTACTCTACCGCACCATGCTACACCAAACTAAGTGACACCTCTCCCTACTCTACCGCACCAGGCTACACCAAACCAAGTGACACCTCTCCCTACTCTACCGCACCAGGCTACACCAAACCAAGTGTCGCCTCTCCCTGTACTATACTACCGCACTTGGGTGTTCTTGACTTCTCGGACACCCCCCACAAACTCGTACAAGTACAAGAAGCGTTGAGCTCTCATCCCCATAAAAACAACAACAGAGAAATCCAATCATTGAAGAGATCATTGTGACGTCACTTGAAGAAACAAATGATGTGTCACGCGGTTTTATACCGCCGACAGTTTGGTTAGCCCAGTGGTCCCCATAATGTGCGTCACTCTGGGTGCCATGGTGCCCTCGGGCAGAGTCATGAGAATGGGGCAAAGAGGGCAGTCACAGCTGGTGCCAAAATTAAAATAGCAAATCCCATATACTTCAGAAAGACAGGGGGGGGGGGCAAAATTGTCTTTTTAATTGATCAATCCCGGGGCACTTTTTCTATACATTAAACGGCGAAGCCTGTCCTCAATAGCAAGCAACCAACAGTAAAAAAAGAATTTAAAAAAAAATATTACTGTAATATTGCTACTACTGGGTACTTTTGAAGCGATATCTAGCGAGTTCATTTGTGAAAATAAATTGCAACATTATGACGATAATTCCTACACAACATTGCATGATATTTTGGCAGCATTGGAGCTATAATGATGCTATATTTGGACTGACAGATGGAGCTGAAACTATTCATTGCGCTGGCCCTTGCGGAGGAATAAGATAAGACAAATGGAAATGAGACAAGCAGGTCGTCACTGCCAAAAGTACGGACAAGCCGGACGATGAGAGGAAAGGACGGACAAATACGGACGCAAAAATTAGTACGAACAAGGGGGTCGAAAATACAAAATTGTCCGTACTAAATACGTACGTCTGGTCCTGGTAACCCTATTATTATTATAGAAAACACTTCATTTGAGGCTATTCGTAGAGTGCTTTATTATTTTTATTATTTTGTCATTTTAAACAACCGGTTCAGTAGAATAGTCAAAATTTAACAACCGGTTCGTCCAAACGGAACCCTAACTGGCCCTAGCACACCGCTGGATATATTGTTTGTGATAATTGGAATCTTTAATCATCAAATCCACGCGTTGACGGTGGATAACAAAGTAAAAAGAAAAACTATGGAAAAACTAGCAAGAGTTATTAAAAGGGTTAACCGTTTACACAGTAGAGGTCGCTATAAAACTTATACTTCCGGTTAGACCCGACGTTCACCCATGTTTGTAAGTGTAGTAAAACGAAAATACTTGTATGTTTAAATGGGAAACAATATGGTACAGTGTAAATGTTTAATGTTTATTTCAATTTTTACCCCTTTTAAAAAATTTGATTTGACTCTTCTTCTATCCCAAAGCATTTATTCTTTAAAAATTACGATTTAGGAGAATAAATAAGATTCAATCCCCTATTTTCGATGATTACAAAACTTGATTTACACTACACAACTTACACTGACTACATTACTAGATACAATATTTAAGATGAGACTTAGGGCCTACATTTAACCTCATTTAGGCCTAGAGAAAAAGGGAAAAAAATTACTTCACATTCGTCATTCGTTTATCGAAGTGATTATTCACAGAGCTGTGCGGATAACGCTCGCCGTTATTCACAGATTTTGGTCTGCTGATTACGCTCAGCATTATTCGCAGTATGTGATAAATTAAATTATGAATATAAAATACAAAGTTCGTATGTAAACATCTCCTCGGTAGTGTAGTGGTCAGTATCTCCGCCCGTCACCTGGCACACATAGGTTCGATTCCCGGTCGGGGAAGCCTCATTTTTATAAATAAAATTAAAAAAAAAATATTTAATGGTTATTTCGTAGTGTTATATTATAATAATATTCTTCATATAGCTTTCTTATTCTGTTCACATAGTTTTATTATTATTTTCATGTAGTTTTGTTACTTATGTTACAAGTTTCAATCTATTTTGTTAGAATGTTCATTCAAGTTTCGTTAAAAAAATGTAAACAACATGGACACGCAGATGAGCCGCATAAACCATGTTTAAGCCAGATACAGCTGTTCTAACTGTACATTGTGATATACTTTTAGCTCTTTTGACTGTTTCATTTTCTTTGTATAATTCCACTCATAGACTTTAACATCCATTTGTTTTTTTCTCTAATAAACAAATAAATATTAATAACTTACTTATTCAAATATTTTAGATCTCAGAGTTATGTATTAATGTTTAGTTGAAAAAATATGTCACGTTTCATTTGTTTCATTTTATTTTCTAGTATCATAATAAGTAGGGACACAATATGCCGCTCCAGAAATAGTTGAAATAACACTTAGTGATGACAATGAAATGAACATACCGGTACCGTACTTAAAACATATCAATATCATTGACATCAACAATTTTAGCTCTTGTAAAAAAAATGTTGATAATTGAAACAAAAAGCCATACTGTCACTGTTGTAACTATGGCTAAATACAAAAAAAAGCATACAAAAATTAATTGGAACCCTGCTGGTCGTAGGATGCACTGCAAGTCTTTGGGAAGTAAAGTTCCCTTGGGGCAATTGAAGCAGCGTTTATGGTGGAGACACCTCTCTGCATCATAACACTGTTGCACGGCATGTCAACTATTTCTGACAGAACATTTCTGGACTATGTGATATATCATAGTGCTTTAAAAAAAACTAAACGATATCCTATCAAGCTTTGACATCATTTAAAGATATCTCTACAGTGGGTGAAAGTGAGTCTACATGAAGAATACTGGTACCATTTTTATTACTGGTATAACATTTAATATGAAATACCAGAAAATTAGCTATGTCTAGGAGTAGGAGGTTTGACTGGATCTATTAGTAACACTCTATAGGTCGAATATGTTGGCCCCTAACAGAGCAGATGTAGGCACAATTAATTGTCCTATATCCAATATATTGGCTATATTTAGGCCTATTAAATTTTTTAAATTTAACTTGAGCATACCAGTAGCTTCGGTTTTGAAATGTGTTTGTGCAATTCTCATTAACGATCGATCTATCCTACACTACTTAAAACTACTCCCCTACCCTGGCTTGGAATGTGATCTTAATTATTTCTAGAAATGTGCGTAATTATGGGAACATTTCTGTCTAACAATAAGGCTCTGCAATATTCGCAGATTTTGGTCTGCCGATAACGCTCAGCGTTATTCGCAGATCTCGGTCTGCCGATAACGCTCAACATTATTCACAGAGCTGTGTGGATAACGCTTCCCTTCGTTTATTCGCCTTAATTATAAATTATGCCTTGCCTTATGATATAAATATATGATATGGCTTATGGCCTTGCCTTATTACTTTCAATAGTTTCAACAAACAAAATCAGTACTCACTCTGCATTCAGTCAAAGTGAAATATGATGCAAACAGCTTGATGGTGATCAGGCCTGGCAAGCTGCAAATGCAGACCTGTTTACTCTTACGATTTTGGCGTACAATGTATGATTTTGAGGTGTACAATGTACAATTTTGAGGTGTATACATTATATATTATATATACTGGATGTTTATTTTTTTACTAGTAAGATAATTTATTGAACGGTTTCGTGATGATATTGTAAGAGTTTAAGGGTAAACGGATCTGCAAATGACTTTTGCGACTGCCAGTTTTGGCCTCACTTTCAGAGTATCTTACTCCTTAGTCTTGATTTAGTGATGGTGGGCTAAGTGGCCATACAGTTTACCACACACCAATTTTCTTGCCAAATTAGAAACAGCAACTCGTTTAGCCTTGGCCTTAGCCCACTTTAAATAGTAATATTAAATATTAATATAGTATAGGACCTATGCCAAAGCCTATAATATAGGCCATACTACTATATATTGTCTAAAATGATCAATGGAAATTAAATCTACCTTTATATTTATTTAATTAATGTCTATATTCTATTCATTTTATTTGACTTTTATGATTTACTTTGACATAAATTTCGAATTACTACAAAAGTTTTTTTATTGATCAACAGCACAAAAAAAAAAAATAGATTAAAAAAAATTCCCATACTAACAAAAATAAAGCAAAAGCACATTTAGCTAAATTTTAGTAACATGTTTAATTAAAAACAACTGAAATATGAAATAACCTAGCCGCACATAATTTCAGTCAAAACATTGAAGCTAAATATACTTCATGGAGTGCCCTAAACCATGGTAAATGGCAGGCACGTAACTAATGCTTGACCAAACATTTTTTAATTTTAAAGGGCTTATTAAAATCTGATAGTAATTTCTAATTTTTTATCTCACAAAGTGTAATCAGAAACAACTATGAACACGGAAGAAGATAGTTCCATGCAAGCAGAAACCATAGAACCAGTGAAAGAAAGTGCAGGAAGTAGTGGTGCCAACGAAAACTTTGTAGTGCTAGACATGGCTGGAGATTCTGAAGATTCTGATAAAGATGACAAAACTACTAAAGAGACTAAAGACAAAACTCAGAAAGTGTCTGGCTCTGATAATGGGGGGAAAGCAACGGCAACAGATTCTGCAACTAAGCCTGGCACTTCAAATACAAGACTAAGGAAGAAACCAAAAGCACCAGTCGTAGATGTTAACAGCTTGAGAAGTAAGAGCTACCACACGTGACAATATTCTTTTACGGTGTCATGCTAGAAAATAACTACTCATCGTTAATATTTTATTTTAAAAACCCTGTTACCGGGCTCTTTTGAATATGAAGGTGCATAATTTTAACTAGCACATGTTACTGTTGTTGATTAAAATTAGTTTTAAACTGGGATTTGTTATTCAAACCCTCTTTTTGTTTCACTTGCTTGTTTTACCAGAGCGTAAATGGCAACTGAAAGTCTATCCATTACATGCTGAAGATCTGCAGTTGAATTATATGAGCATATTATGCAAGCTGGCATCAGAAAGTCTTCTTTATATTCCAAGTGAAGGAAGGCATGGGTAAATAAATTTAATGTGCGTGATGTGTATACAACTGTTAGAAAAGTGCATTAGCATTTCAAATAATTTATTAAATCTAATGTGCATCTGACCATCTTATTTATGAAATAAAGTTGATTTGGAATTGTTACCTAAGTATTAACATAAGTATACATTTTCATAGCAAAGCTGAGTTGTATGTTGCAACCCAGAAAGAGACTGCTGCCATCATTGGGAAACTTTTAAGGATGGAATTTCACCACAAACTCTTAAGCATAGAAGTAGTGAGGAAGGATACTGGTGGAAAAGAAGATGGTGATGAATCCAAGAAAGAATGCAAAGGTTAATATTGCCTGTTTTATTATATGTATAATGTGCTGCCATGAAATGTTTTGCTAAGTCCCAAGTATACACAACTCTATTAAAGAAATTTTAAAATTATTTTATTGAAGAAATGTGTCGTATTTCATTATTAATATATTAAACTTTTACTTTGTTTTTTACTAATATTTCCTAATATTTTTTTTAACGATTCTGCCTGGGACTTCTAAAATATTTTCTTAGCACCCAGCAGAATTTAATTCATAAAATGGGTCTTCACTCAAAAAAAATTTGCTGAGCCCTGCCTCTCACTGATAAGGCATAACTTGTTATATTTCATGAGCCCTTTTATATTTCTTCTTTTCTATGCTCATGAGGCTTTAAATGATTTTTGAAAGTTTATTTTTTTCTAAATTGAAATCAACAGGAAAAAGTAAAGTTAAATGATATGTTCCTCATTTGATTCACATAACTTTCTTCTCTTTTTTTTATATTTAGCCTTCCTTATGTTTGACAAGTTCTTATCAAAAAAGATTTTTGATGCTAAAGGTGAAAAGGGTGAGTACTTATAATAAATTTTAAAAGAGAGTTTCTCTCATTTTTAACATTGCCAATTTTAAAATCAAACTACCTTTTTTTCCTTGTTTAAATTTTTTCTCCAGATTTATACACCATTTTTTAAAAAGATTATATCTCCCTTCAAAAAGGATACCGGCCTTCAACTTTGGATATCAGCATATTTTATAAAATATTAAATAAATGTGATTGCCACATTTCTAAAATGGATCCTCATGGCTGTTGGATCAGTGCTCTAAATGGTAATTAGGAAATTGCCTGTACTCCGTTTCCAACTTCGCTACGCTTTGCTACTGATCTGTAGCTCATCGCCGTAATCGTACATACTGTTCCACAAAGCATCCGACAACGCATACTTGTTACTTTAGAACACTGGGCTTCAGCTATTTGCCATTATCAGACTAAAACACTCAAATTGGGCTTGATTGCAAGCTCTCATGGCTTGTATCTAAAAATTTCACAAGTCTGTGGCGAGTTCTGGATAGTTTCGTACAACTTTGAACCCTTCAGGGCTGGTCCCAACTAACTAGTTCTAACTCGACATCAGGACTATATATCGTTTACTCCTGGTCTCTGGTTCACGCATCATACGAATGACGTATACATGATCTGCACACTGAAAATAAAATACCTGTGCTCTTCAAATAATTATTTAAATTAATCTGCAATGAATTTGTATTCATTAAGACTGAATTTGATTTAGAGATTTCTTTATTATTATTTGAGAAAATGTTTCCTTACGATAGTAAAATAAATTTATGATTTGAGTTTTCACCCAAATGCATAATTCCTGTTAAAGTGCAAAATAAAAATGGCATTAGAAACTACAAGAATTAAATTTTTGAATTAAACCATTTGGACTTTGAAAATTTGTTTATAAAATATTTGAGTTGTGATGAATCAAAATTTTTAACAATTCCATTTTTAATTAGTACATAAGATTTTGGACCTAATTACCAGATTAAAATCTGATCTAAAGGACTTCATTAGGGGCTTTTTAGCACTTCCAGAAAAAAACTAATAACAATGTACAAAAATAATTTCAAATTTATTTCAACAACCAGTATGCTACTTTGATATTTGATTAAGCTAACAACAAGAAGGAGCCTCTGAATTCTACATAACATTGATAAAAATATTCTGTTTCATTGAAAACAAAGAAGATTTTATTGTAACAAAGTGTTTCTTCATGTCTAATATATTCTCTATAGACCCTTAATGTTCTAGAGCCAGGCTGCATCGCTGCAGAGGGAAAACAAAATAAGGACCTTCTCATAAGCTGTGACACTTCTCGCTTTCGTACACCTCGTAAGAAGCTGTCACAGCCGTCTCCTTGTCAGCAACAAGCCTGACATGTAACAGGCCTTGACCTCCATCATCAGGCTTTCACTTGCTGCTTGCCTAGAAACCTAGGGCACTATTGACATAGTGGTGCTTAGTGTGATGTTGTCACAGCAGTAACATTTGTTGTTGTTCTAACAAGCCATGCTCTTTTTATCTCCCAAAACAGCAAACTTGTTGTAGCTGGTCTTCTTTAATGAACTACGAGCCGATTTCAACTAGAATCCCTCTTGTCAATGCCTGTCAGCAATGTTTTTTTAAAATACGCATTATGATCTATTGAGCGATTTGGAATTATTCATAGTGCTGCTTAGTTATTTTGAGTCAGTTTTTTTACATTATGAAAAATTTTATAATTAAAGAGAGCAAGCGAATAAAGGCTATTTAATTTTTTCACTGGCAAAGTTTATGTAAAATAACAAAAATAAATAATAAAGCACTGATGGCAAAATAGTACAAGAGTAGCACAATGACAAAACTCAAAATTATTTTTTAAAAATAAATAATTTATTTTATGGTTACAGAAATGATTATTAATTATATAATTTAAATGAAAAAGTAATTGAGAAATTAAAAACATTGCTGACAGCTCACCAACTACATCAGCCACAAGATCATCTCAACTAGCTGCATGTCACACAGCAAACTGCAGTGACATCCAAGTGCTGGATCCACTAAAATTTTGCTCCAAACACAGCTCAGTTGATGGTTTGCTTCTCAGCATTGACTTCTCACGTCGCCACAATCTTACAATCTTATTTCAGGAATGCTCATTGAGAAAATTGTCACATTAAACAAGTTGCCCAAAGCGGCCACCAAAGATTTCATCGGGGCACTTTTCCCTTTTGCCACTGAAATTGAAATTATCGAGAGTGATAATCCTGATGAACGGTGAGTAGCCCAGGCACTGTGTGTTGACTTGAATTCCAAAATAAATATATATTACAAAAAATTGAATACTACGACCATCTGTTTGGATCTAAATGAGCTCAGATGCACCTATGTCTGACACATTAAAACATTATGTTGCCATAGAACATAATGCTTTACCAGTTACTACTGCTAGTAACTGCTACTTGTACAAGGGATTATCTCTCTCAGCCAATCATCTTCCAACCTGATTACAATCCAAGGATTATACTGCATCAAGAAGAAATCTACATGTCTTACAAAATGTCCTCTAAAATGATTAAAATCCAAGGAAAGTCCTGCATCAAGAACAAATCTACATGTCTTACCACAACTTTCAGAAATTTGGTTCAAGGGATTATCTCTCTCTGCCAATCATCCTTCAACCTGATGACAATCCAAGGATTATCATGCAATAAGAAGAAATCTACATGTCTTACCGCAACTTTCAGAAACTTGGTACAAGGGATTATCTCTCTCTGCCAATCATCCTCCAACCTGACTACAATCCAAGGATTATCCTGCATCAAGAAAATATCTACATGTCTTACAGCAACTTTCAGAATCTTGGTACAATGGATGATCTCTCTCTGCCAATCATCCTCCACCCTGATTACAATCCAAGGATTATCCTGCATCAAGAAAAAATCTACATGATTACATGTTTTACAGCAACTTTCAGAATCTTGGTACAAGGGATGATCTCTCTCTGCCAATCATCCTCCAACCTGATTACAATCCAAAGATTATACTGCATAAGAAAATATCTACATGTCTTACAGCAACTTTCAGAATCTTGGTACAAGGGATGATCTCTCTCTGCCAATCATCCTCCACCCTGATTACAATCCACGGATTATCCTGCATCAAGAAAAAAATCTACATGTCTTCCAGCAACTTTCAGAATCTTGGTACAAGGGATGATCTCTCTCTGCCAATCATCCTCCACCCTGATTACAATCCAAAGATTATCCTGCATCAAGAAAAAATCTACATGATTACATGTTTTACAGCAACTTTCAGAATCTTGGTACAAGGGATGATCTCTCTCTTCCAATCATCCTCCAACCTGATTACAATCCAAGGATTATACTGCATCAAGAAGAAATCTACATGTCTTACAGCAACTTTCAGAAACTTGGTACAAGGGATGATCTCTCTCTGCCAATCATCCTCCAACCTGATTACAATCCAAGGATTATACTGCATCAAGAAGAAATTACTACAACTTTAGGAAATTTGGTAGATTAAAGCACAAAATTTACCTCCAGTGATACAACTTAATAGGTATTTTCAGAAAAACTTCTCATGTACGAGAGAATCCTGAGGACTGCAGATTCTTTGAATAAACAATATGTGATCATCCAGATCAGAACAGCACAAATCATTTAGATAACTCGGTTGATAGTCGGGTACCACAGAACATCTATTCTTGTTTATTTCATCATTCAGCACAAGCTTATGTCAAAAGACCATGTACAACTTATGAGATGTTTTCTTATGATGTCATTTGGTTTATCAATAATCTTTGTCTAAAACATTGAATTTTTTGTGCATAAAAAATCACAGCCCATGGAAAAAGTTATTCATTTGAATGTAAGCTTTTTGGATAAAGCTTCATCAATTCAAGAAATGAAGTTGAAATTCAAAAAACATATCTTCGGCTGCATTCAATAAAGATAACAATTTCTTACAGCCATGAAAGTTTAGACGTCACCAATATAACATCTTTATATGCAAACAGTTTAATATTTTTCTCCATACCATCATTCCTATTGTCATATGTTTACTTTCAGTGATATTTTAAATCAAGCACAATTTTAAAAAAAAGTTATCTTTCAAAAAAAAATATTTGAAAAAACTCATTTGCTTTTTAATTAATTTGACAAAAGGCTTATAAAAATAAATATATAATTTTTAAATTATGGAGATTAAAAAAAATAAAATAATAATCTGAACAAGATTTATTAATCTGTTATACATTTACTTTGTTCAAATTAATAATGCCACATAGATTTGATGATGTCAGCCTATTTTGTATAAGGTGTCAATAACTTAACAGTAAAGCTCATGTCTTTTTTAATTTTGTATTGGATATTCTTAAAACAGTAAAGAAAAGTTAAAATTATTTGTAATTAATTTTGATAGTGTGAATCAAATGGTAGTTTCATGTAGCCATTGTCATCAAAAGTATATTTTAAAAATAATCAATGAAAATTTCACATTTTAATATATAATATACATTACAGAATTGTCAGCCATAAAATGTACTACACTGTTTTAAAAAAGTTTAAAATTATACATTAATTATACATAATAATTTTTAACTACATTAGAAAAGCCACAGTAAGATGCAAAACTCCGGTAACATCACTGTTGGTCTACAAGTCCTTCAAGAGGCTTGAAATAAATGATGTCCATGTCAAACTCTCTGTGGATGATTCAGGTACCAGTATTTAAAAAGAAGAATTTTTTAAAAATAATTTACACATTTTTATATACCCAAGTATTTATCAACCACCTGGACTTTTGAAAAATTCCATTTGTTACTTATTAAATGTTATTGTATAACCACCATATTATATTATATAGGTAAAAAAATTGTTCCTGTGCTGTGTCGAGATCAATATCTTTCGTTTACTTTTTAGCAATTTGTGGAGTTTGGTTTCCAGAAATTGGTATGAAACCAATTTGTACAAACGAATTTTGTTCCAACAGAAGTTTGTTTGCAATTTTAAAAAATGTTCAACTGAAGTTTTGTACTAATTTCGGGGTACAGTGGAGTTTACAATGTCTTAATTATTTTTGGGATTTTGAATAAAAAACTACAAAGGATTTTATGTCCCTGGTATAAAATACGAAAATAAAGACTGCCTTTATTATTCATTGTGTACGGTTAACATATTTGTTACCCATAATGTGCACTAAAATTAAAACATTTCATTAGAGCAGCTTGGTAAAAAAACTCATTTCAACCACAAGGTTCCAGACTAGATGTATAGGACTAAGTACCTAAGTGAATGCTTTGCTTCAACTCGTTCACTGACCCTCACTTTCCTGTCTATCTCTCTGAACTGTTGCTTCCTTACATCCCCACAAGACAACTACGTTCTTCCATTGACAGTAGAACCCTCTCAATCCCAAGAACTAAAACTAAGACCATCGGTGAACGCTCCTTCTGCTTCCATGGGCCCACGTTCTGGAACCAGCTCCCCTTCCATATACGTCATAGTGAAACCTCGTCCATTTTCAAAAAGTCCCTTAAAACTCATCTGTTTAGGTCCGCCTATGACCTGTGATGCACCCTCCTTGCCCTACCTCATTTTCTGTTTCGGGTTGATCCTGAAGTGTCAAAGTGTCCTCGTTTTATAGCCATTTTCATTGTTTCTATAGAATAGTAGTTACTATCCTAGTGTCTCATTTGTATTTACTTAGTTTACATGTTTTAATAATTGTAAAGCGCTTAGAGCTTTATGATAAGCGCTATATAAAAATGCCTAAATAAATAAATAAATAAATAAATAAATGCACAAATCATCACACATATTTTAATTTAATATTATTTATTCTGGTTTCTCCTGGTCATGTATATGGATTTTAAAAGAGAAAAAAAAACCCCACCACAATGCTGTATGCTTTTTAATTTAAAAAAGACAGTTATCATGAACATTTTCACATCAATTAAAACGTCCTGTTCTGTAACGCATATCAAAATGGAAAAATATTTGAGAAATTTCTTTTGACTCCTATACAGTTAAAGCTATCTCTCTCCCACCAATGTTCTTCATCCCACGTCCTGAGAAGAAAGACACAGGACCACCTGACTCTATGGAAAGTTTAAATCAAAGCTCTCTTCCCCGAAGACCAATGATGACGCCCCTTAATAGACGCATCCAACAGATAAAGAAGCGAGCACTCCTTACAAGGAAGAAGCCAACTCGAGGGCAGTTAATGCGAGGTCAGAGACCTAATCAAGGGATAGATGATCACATGGTTGATGGTCCAAGAGGGCTGGGTGGTCGTCGTTCCATGCCAAGGCGTGGAGGTGATGGTCGATTTGGACTTGATACAATAAAAAACCAAGGACCTGGTATGAAAACTTCCAGTTCCAGTGAAATTTAACATTGATTCAATTACCAAAGACAGTTTCAATGATATTTATTATTTTTTGTGTGCAAAATAACTAAACATTTGTTACGATTAACTTGTTATAAAACGGAAAAAAAATTTCAGACTTGCATCAGCATAAAATTTTATTTCATTAAGGTATCTTACTAGTACTAGTTTAATGAACATTTCATGCTTGCACTCCAATATTGTTAAAAAAAAAATCATTTATTAATTTTAAATAGGCAGCAGAGACTATCCGGGTGGCCCAGGGCGTCGTAGAATGAACGAACGTCAGAATGATAGAAGAAACAGAGATAGAGATTCACGAGAAAGAAGCGCTAGAAGAAGTGAACGTGAGGAAAGTCAGGTTTGTTCTATCAAGACTTGAATTTTTTTTTATGCCTTTATGAAATTTGGATTAACCTCTTTACATATGATGCTGGCATGATCTATATGGCTGGCAAGCGAGGGTGGTGCAGGGGGGGGGCGTTAGCTCCACCGCAGTGCATATGTCTCGAAACCAACTATGGGCATGCAAGGGAGGGGAGGGGTTGCCTGCGTCTTGCTTGCTCGCGTCTTGCTTGCTCTGGCGTATCTATATATAGCCTGCATCTTGTTGGTCTTTGCTCTAGTTTCTGGCGAATTATATATATAGATTATATGTGCAGACTGATAGTAATAATTATAAGTATAAGAGTTGAAATGTTAGTTTTTATTAAAAAATAAAAGATTTACATACAATGCCCCCCTCCCCCCTTAAATCCATGTTGATACACTGTTTTCTGGATTTGAAATTCAGAAAAACTTCTTTTAATACCACTTGACTTTGCAAAAGTTTGAGCTAGTCAGTATAAGTAGAAGCATCCACCTCCTGTTTCTTATACTTTATATCTAACTTTAGGTTACAAAAGAAATGTTGCAGCTTCAGAACCAGTTGAACCAGGCCATTAAAAACCAGATTGCTATGCTAAGCACTGCCCAAACTGGTGGAGGACACATTCGAGCTGATAGCTTTCCTCTTCCAGGATCATCTCATCGCACTTCACTCTTGGGCCATGGACCTCGGTATGGGGCAGGTGCTGAGGTTGGTGCCATTAGTGGTGCCAGGGGATTAGATCAGGTAAGACATTTATATGTTGATAAAAATTGACTTCCTTAAATAATGTAATTAGAATCTATTTCATTCCCACTGGCTGCGTATCCGGAAATTTGATAATTTCGTCGACCGGTAATTTTATGGAACGGAAATTTGGTCAAATCTTTGTTTTCAGTTTTTACTTTAAAATTATGCTTTATTTCTTTTTGACGTGTGAACTGAAAAAAAGATTCTACCAAATTTCCGTCGATCAATTTACTGTCTACGAAATTTCTTTCTATCAAATTTCCGGTAACCCACTGACTGCCTGACTTTCTTATCATGCCTCAAAAAAGAAGTAATTCCAATTTTCTATGTAACTATTTTTAATCTTCTAATTGTTTATTAATTTTAACAAATTTAGGACAAATGCATGGGATAGAGTTTAACAAAGCATTACAATAACAAAGAAAGAGTTGAGCAGAAGTGTAAATGAGAACTCTGTGGGAATTGAATGTGGAAGAGAATAAAATATTTTTTAATTATATTTGAAAATATTTACTGCACAATTTCACTTTCTGCTTTCATTTCATTCGATAGTTTCATCTAAGTTTATTAGTTTTCTTTGCATGCGCATGAAAGGCCATGCTGAAATGTTTGACTCTTGTAACTTAGAAGGAAAATAAAATAAAAACATAATGACTTCTTCCAAAACAAATATGAGAATAGAAGTAAAATTTAACAAAAAATGGTTAATGGCAGCAATATCGCCAATAGTCGGTTAGGACAAAACGCAGTGTTGTAGTTACAGGTAGGGTTTGGTTTAATGCTTACGGGACCATCAACTTTCCTGGTGCATTTCCTTTTGGCACCAATGCAGTAAATAGAGTACCTTAAATGATATGAGGGTGTACCTGCCAGTCTTTTTAAAAATTAATGATAATAGTGAATTGATTTTTATCTCTTTCTTGCCCATTGGTCTACTTATTCACTAAAGCCAAATTCCGGAACAAAGGGAAGTGACGCATCTTTAGGGAAAAGCAAAAAAGTAGTCACAAAAAATACATTACTGCAAATTTCATTTATTTACAGCATACATTTTCATTGAGGTCTAACACAGAAGTAGAACCCTATTATTATGAACTAAACTTCTGCATAAAATCTAGTAACTTTGAATTGTTGAATTGAAAGGATATTGAACATCAGTGATCTTGTCGCTAAGTGACCTTTTCAAATACACTTGACATTTATAATTATATTTTCTACAGCATCCCCCAGACTTTGGGGGTGGTTCCTGGTCAGCAGACCGTGGTGGCAGGGACAGAAATGAAAGGGTAGAACGCATAGCCAGACCTGGGGCAGAGCGTATGGATCGTCCAAATAGACCTGAGAGGGTGGTTGATAGAAAAAGAATGGACTTGCCAAATCGTATTGACAACAGATCCGACAGAATCGAAAGAGATAGTCGTGATAGGGCTGATAGAAGTGATCGTAACAGCACTGGTGCAGATTTAACTCGTCAGCCACCACGAGCTCAAAGGCAAGTGCAAGCTTTTGGTGGGGGTGGCCCCACTGCTGGAGATACTGGACGTACTAAGGAAAGATCTAACTTAAATACTGCTCATGGTACAGATGCTGCTAGAGGAAGCAGCAGAGGAAGGAGAGGACCAGAATATCCTGGATCCACCAGGTTAGTCTACTTCATAATTATTTATTAGATACAGGTACTCATATTTATCTACTAGCTATCTATTTCTTGATTTTTAACAAAAAAATACCAGGTAATATCAACCAAACGCAAAAACAATTGATGTCCTCAGCTCAACTGAAATTTTAGGCCTTAGTGTTTCAAAGTTGTTTCATACCATGCAGAAATTTGTAAAACTTTCATTAAAAGCAATGTAATGTATTGCAGGGTGTCACAAAGAAATGAAGGTGCCTACAGTGCTGGCGCTCACGCTCAAGGAGGTGGTTCTGGGCGTTATGGTGATTATGCTGGTCAGGTAGAAGGGGACAATAGTACATACTATAGGCGGTACTGAGTTGATACAAATAAACTTGAAATTAAATTTAAAAAAAAAAATATATTGGCATATAAAATGCTTAAGATAAATTTAAAAAAAAAAAAAGTCTTTTAAATGTTTCAAAAATGTGGGTGTTGACAGGAAATGCATTATCCATTAAATTTTTATGGTGGATTATGTTGTTTGCGGACGCCAATTTTAATTAATGTGTACATGGTTACTTTTGATCCATCTTTTATGTTAAAAACTTAAATATTCAATGTTGTATATAATTGTTTTTTTGGAATGTTTTTATCAATAAAAAAATTAAAACCAACATTCATTACTTTGTTTTTTAGTTTTTAACAATATGGTATATGTATCTGTAAAGTATATGCATCAATATTCATGATGAGTGTTTTGCTAATCGCGCACTATTTAATTCATATGCCTTTTTGATCAGGCATTAAATTAATTACCGGTATTACAATAAATTTAGGCTTTGCAGAAAAATATTTGTGATTCTGTTAACTTTTTAAAAAGTTAATTAAAAAGTTCAAGCATTTATTACTAATATTACATTCTGTTCCAAAATCAAATACCATTGATTGCAAGAATGAAATTTATCACGCTTATTCTTTATTGGATAGATTAGTCCATAACGGTTCATAGAACAATATGATTGTACTATACAGTATATCTTAATTACCCGTTATGTACTATACCGTATATCTTAATTACCGGTAGAACTGTAACAATTATAAAGAATAAATGGCCAGACCGATCATTAATGCAAGTTTATTGCTTATTTTAAAAAAAATATTTAGCATCACTGCTTGACACCAACTTTATACATGACAGATGAATTCAAATCAAAGCAAGCCAAACTTTTATTACCATTTATTAATGATTTATCATTTAGTAAAATTGGTATTTCTTTCTTTTAATTTTATTGTAATAATGAAGTTTCAAGATAATGAAACAAACAGTAACAAAATGTTAGCCTCATATTAATAATATTGACTAAATTGCATTTTCTTTCAGGTTTACTGAGACTATCGCTCCCTAATTGCTCATTAATGTAACTAATAATAAATATTGAAAGTGATCTTTCACAATAACATATTGTTGCAATATGTGTAAAATTTCCAAATCAAAATGACCCAGTTAAATTATTCAAAAAGCTTGAAATAGTTGACATTGACACACAAAACAATGCACTGTTAATTTTTTATCATTTTTACAGAGCACACCAGGGAAATAAACACAGTTAACAAACTTCTTGAGATTTGCATAAATGATAACATTTAGTTTATTTGAAGTATTTACACTACCTGGGGGGGGGGGGGGGTTACCGGTACCATGTTATTGAAATGGTTATGCCCTCCAGGATAATGTTTTGCTTTAAATAAGGTCAAACATTTCTTTTGTAAGCATAGGATAAAAATGTAGAGCAATTTTAAAAGTGAGACATCACACAAAAAACAAAGGAACTTTACATGTTGGATTATTTTCATTGATTTTTTTGTTATGGAAATGGAATTGAATATAACTTTCATTTTGTCCATTTCTTATGATTCACAAATATCCTATGCTGTTTATAAAAAATAAAACTGAAGTTTAAGAAGGAAAGATTAAGTTCATTAAGAATGAAGTTTAAAAAAAATTTCTACAACTACAATAATGAAATTTTTTCAGTTGATGAAAACAATCATGAGAACTGAAAAATTTGAAATGTTGAGAATGAAGGACATTTTTAAACTTACATTATAAATTATAATGTAAGATAAATAATTATATTATGGATATATTTTTCTTTTTATGAGCCAGAATAGGTAATCATAAACTATACTGCACAGTACTGGCATAAAGGAATATTATTTAAATATTGACTTTGTACTAACCCTTAGTAAGGATTGCTAATTCGGAGCTGTTTTGGAAATTCCAGTTTTCAGATTATTGAAATTCAAAATCCAGATAACCGGATTTAATCAGAACTTTTGAAAATTATAAAATCTTTGGTATTTCATAATTCAACATTTCCAACGTGATTAAAAGACTTTACTGATTCCATTTCTTTGATTTAAAACTTGTTAGAAAGAAAATGTTTTACTTAAAAAAAAAAATTAAATAATTTTAAAACACTTAGAAGATTTTCATCACCAGGGACTATTGTTACAGGTCTTAGGGAAGGTGACGCCTATAATAATAATGATCAAATCTAATTACCACATTTTGCCATAATAAATTAAGTTAAAAATTAATATAAGATTCTTCCAATAATGGACAAAAACACAAACTACAATAATGAAAACTTAACCCTAAATTATTATTCTTGCAGTCTTAGGTCTCCCGTTGAATTTTGACTGCCAAAGTCCTCCCACAGTCTTTGAAATTCAGCTTTAAAAACAGATGTTACAGCATCATCATCAGTTATTAGAACATTTTCCTGATTCCCTGTAATAGCTTGGTAAGTCCAATTGAATGAACCATTGATTAAAACTCTGTTATCTATGATGACAAACTTGTGGTGCATTAGGTAAGATGAATCGTTTGTTCGTACTGGAATACCTTAAAATTGAAAAAGAAGGAAAGATAAAATAAATAGGTAACAGCAACAAACGTCACTTAAAATACTTAAATTATGAATATGCCTGTTCTTGGAAGTAGATGACTTGTTTTTGAAATTACAATACAACCTATAAGAATGACATTTTGAGAATGTAATATGCACTTTTTCTTGACAATTTAAAAGGAAGATAAAAATAATACATATTTATTACCACTTTATTACAATGATCTATATCTATATTTAATGGGCTAGAAGTGCATTTTAAAGTTAAGCCTAGGTAATAAGACTTAGGTTTAAAATAAGCATCTCAATGAAAAAAAATGACAAGTGAAAGAAGGGATAACAGCAGGCAACCTTTCATATTTCAGCCTATAAAAGCTACAAGGAGGACAAAGAAGCCATATATAAACCAATGTTATAAGACCAGTAGTAATTAACGCAAGAGTGCCTTGGTCCTCCAACAAAAAAGGTGAGAACCTCCTCCATACATGGGAGAGGAAAATCTTCGATAAAATATGTGGTCCTGTGTTAGATATTGATGGATTGAGAATTTATACAAACCAAGAAATATATCATTTGTTCAAAGACCCATCCATAGTCGCAGAAATTAGAAGGGGCAGACTGAGATGAAGAGGATGCCAGACTGCAGAGCAGTGATCACAGGCAGAAAGCCAGGGACAGGCGGCCGAAACTGAGATAGATTGACGATGTAGAAAAGTATGTACACCAGCATTTCCATAGAGCAGTGGTTGAAAGCACCCCTTGGGTTGAGGAAGACCCAGAAAATTGTATTTGCTGCCACTACAAGTTGCTGCCTTTAAAAATTTTTTTTTTTCATTTTGATTAGCAGCAGTAAATGTTTTGCTGGTGAATTTTGTTTGCGCATTACTTGAATTGGTATTTTTTCTTGTTTCTAGAAAGTTAATAGGAGAAATTAAAGTACAATAACCAAATTATATAAATTTTACAAATTTTTTACAATATAATGGGGGTGGGGTGGGGGGTGGTGGGGTTGCGGAGACTGTTTGAAATTGAGAGGGGATGCAGCACCACAAAAAAGGTTAAGAATCCATGCCCTAGAACATTTACTAATATTTACAACCCCCCAACCCACCCCAAATCCAACCATTTTTCATTCCATGCCATTAATTCTTTGACGCCTGTCTACACATTTCAACATAAATTCTCCAAACTGTCAATGTCACTACACCCTGATTCTCCTCCTCCGAGGTGGCCTGTAACTTGATCAGAGGCCATTTTTCTGACCTTGTATGCCTGTACTGATACTCTCAGCAATCACATTTTTAAAATAAAATTATTACAATGAAATGATGTTTAAAAGTAAAAAGAATAATTTAAGTGCAATTTTTTTCAATATTGTTCCACTTTAAAAAAATGTAATGTGAAATCACATTGCTTAAACCTCTCCCCCTCATTAAAAAATGTGCTCCCCTTCCACCAGACACATGACTCATTAATTGATCAATTATGATGATGATGATGATTTCTTGTATAGTATATTGCTTGAGACTTAGTCTAAGTCCATGCTATTCTAGCATGCTCAAAACGCTCTGATGTCAGAAGAATGTCTTTAAATGTACCTGTACCTTAAACTTAAATTATTCTTTATCATTTTTTAATTCCCTAGAAGAATGAGGCAAACTGTTCAGTCCATCTGTCTTAGTTGTTCAGTAAACCTCTTTTATTTTTGTTCCTCTAACTCTAATTAAAGCAGAAACTTTTTTCTAATTATTGATTGTAAATGTTTCACTTTCAAACAAGTGCAGATGTTTAAATTTTTTTTTTTTTTGATGTACCCGTTAAAATAAGTTAACATTTTAAAACAAACCTTCTTTGCGTAAAGACCAAATCTGAGAGCCTGAAGCTTGAAGTTGGTCTTTGTCAGTGATGATCCTAATTTTGACGCCTCGTTTAAACATTTTCATAAGTATTTCTGCTAAATCTTTACACGTTATAATGTATACACAAATATCCACTGTGGTCTTGCCAGAGCATAAATGTTTATAAAGCTCACTCAAAGATGATTTTTCATGGGAAAAGCGACAATTCTGTTTAACACAACCGTTGTCGGTAATGAAATAATCTTTACATGCTACCTTCTCATCGGGAAAAAATAAAACCTGCAAGGATGTACTGCTTAGTCTACTTTCACTTCCTATTTCTGTTTTCGATTTGTGTTTTTTGGTTTTACAATATAATTTATAAAGTACTTCACTAGCGATAAAAAATAATACTGTGTATAACGCGCCTCTCAAATTTGAATTCATGTTGTAAACCTTTGAAGATTTGAAAAATTTACGGTACCAAATTTACAATTACAAACTAAAAAATGATCTACCTTCTAAGAAAATAAAAAACGAACTTAAAAAAGATAGCATAGGCCCAGGTGTTTTATTTATCGGAAATGACCAAAGACATAAGTAAGACAACTCTCAATTAAAATTGATCTTGGTATCCGGTTGACGTTGCAGCACAATAATGTCTAGCAACAATGTAAACTATTGAATTCACATTCTTTTTAAAACGAAAAAAATTATAAACGAAGTGAGATATATAAATATTTAAAATATAGACCGAGGCTTATATATATTGGTAATTTTTTGACACTATGCTCTATCCGATTCTTATTTAGTCAGTGAGCCTAAAGTAAAATAGCTGCGTCTATTCGGATCCGCCTGACCCGGACCCAGGTATCAGAATGAGAGTTTGGTCAGTTTGGATCTATTGAAAAATATTAAAAATATTATTGTAGGATTTTTAAGACAAAATTAGGTATCAAATGAAAGATAATTTCCGTCTTACAAATTTTGTCTTACAACCCAACCATAATATTTAAAATATTTTAAAAAATCCCAACCTCTCACTTCTGGGACCCAGGTCAAATAGCCTCTTCATTATAATAATTCATTAATTGCAGTGAGTTCTCAGTCACTGCTCAGACTAGGTCTAGGTACTTTGAATTGCACTCACTGTCACAGAGCCACAATCTGAGTCTCATCCATCATTTAAATTTATGAATTTTAAAATTATTTTAATAATATTTTATGTGGTACGACAAAAGTTAATAAGTTTACCCTACTCCTACCATTCCAGGTTCCTTATTTGAACTTATTTGGTACTCCTCAGAAAGGCGGTCCCAAATTAAAATAGAATACTGTTCGTTAGAAGGTACCCGGCTACCAGCATAATAGCCGCCGATAATTGGTGTCATATTTGTTTACGTCTAATGCTCTATTTAATTTTTTTTTCTTATAAAGATCGCAAACTTCATCAACCTTTTCATCTTCATCTCCTGAAAGAAATTTTTTTTTAAAGAAGAAGGAAAAATAAATAAAAATGCACGAGAGATACAAAAGTTATCTCTGTTGAATTGCTTTTTTGTATTCAGCAAGCCACACTAACCAAGCCATACACATACAGTGCCTTCGGCGTTGTGTCATACTCATAATCATAAGTTTGTAGAATGTTTCCTGACAAAATATTATTTGAAATATGGTATTGTAAATTAAATATTATTAAAAGCAATAATAGGTGTGCAAACAAAATTTGAAGTAAAAAAAATTATGTCACAAATTATCTGCGGCTATTAGGCTGGCAGCCGGACAATTTCAAATGAAAAGTATTCAATTTTTAATTTGGGACCGCCGTTCTGAGGAGTGCCCCTTTTTTCTACATTGAAATTACATTCTTTTCATGACTGGAATAATATTCAGGAATGGAATATAAACCTTGTAATCTTAAAACTGAACCACATTAACTTTATTCTATTTTCTTCCTTTTGATGTGGCCAGTGGCCCTGACCTTACTTTGACTCTTGAAATGGTCCTTAGTCCTAGGCCGAATTCTATTAGAGTTGTAATCATACTAAATTTCTTATCCTACTTTTCTTAGGTCATAATGGAAGAAACAGATGTGACTCTGAATTTTGGAGAAGAAGATGATCTAGTTGATAAGGACAAGAATTTAAAGTAAGTATCACATAGTTCAAATTTTGAAAGGGAAAATTTTTTGCATATGACATGAAATAAACCATAGCTAAATCCCCTGCCTTACGGTAAGACACCTTTTATCAAGCTTTTTCCTGTCTAGGGGCTAGACTTCAGTTTTTTAGTTTTAAAACAGCCTTATAAAAAAACAAACTATTAACAGCTAACATTAAATGGTAATAGTTCATCCAGTCCTAACAAATTGGCTGATTATGGTTTAAAAACTATTTAATGAAACATTTAGGTCAAATAAAAAGGAAACTAACTAATAAATTTGGCACTGCTCCCTGGTTCAATGGGAAACTTGTTCATCGATCCTTCAAACTTAAAAGTTTGGAAAACACTGGTATAAAATATTCATTCATTCAGTCCTTATTCGTTGACAGGTTCTTGAGACAACAGTCAAAAGAATGCAATTTCTTTATGAGCTGTGTTCAGGGCCAGATTTCTATTCCACATTTTGATTCTATAGTTCTGGATCAGGTTCCAGTTTGGCTTTTCCTGGCCTTTCCATCATCATGCTTGTTTGGAAAAGTGAGCTTCCGATCTGATGTATAAGTGGTCTTTAAGCATTCTTATCTGTAGAGGAAAATACCTAAGACATTAATTTAAAAATATTTTGGTCTTGATGTGGATCCTTAAGCTCGAAGATCTCCATATGAATGTCAAAATTCCGAATGTCAAAATTCCTAATGTCTGTCATTGTCACCATCTGTAATGTCCTCGCCAATGCTGTATTAAGGGCAGTTTCCCAGGGCCTCATGCTTCTAGGCGCATCAAGCTTCTAGGGGAATCATGCTTTCCAAATTGTTAATAAATATTGAAAGATCTTTTGTCACTTAAATTTTATTTAACTGTTTAACTACAATACACTGCTGGTAGGGCCAAAGTTTCCTTCTATCATGGCTATGAACTGCTGTGCGCGACACAAAAAAAAAGTTTGTTTCATTGTAAAATTAGTGATATATTTAAATTCTTACTTTCGTTTCAATTTGAGATTTTAATTTACTGACAGAAATTTAATTTAAAAACCGCATGGGACAGTCAGTCAGAATGTAAATAATTTATCGTGTTTTGAGGGTAGTTGGCAAGTATTTTTCGTGGCAACTAGCAATAAGGTTACCAAAAGCAAACATACATTAAATAAGTTGGAGCTATGTTTATTCTTTTACTGATTTTTATAAATTTGGAAACATTTTCTAATTTGGTGTAGATGTGATTACATAAGTTATTAGCCGCGACTATTCGCACCCGGGTACCAGAAGTGAGAGGTTGGGATTAAAAAACTACTTAAAATATTATTGTTAGGTTTGTAAGACACATAGGAGCCAGAATGATCAATTGATTGATCGTGGGCCCTCAAAGTAAAGAAGAAGAAGAAGAAGACAAAATGAGGTATCAATTGAAAGATAATTGAATAGGCTATATGTTTGTGTTTGTTTTTCATGTTGTTTTTGTCTACTATGATTATTGATTATTTCTACTTCTAGTATTAAAGAAGATCAGTTTCAATTTTTTTTCTCTTAACTAGTGTTTTGAGTAATTACACTGTGTTTGGGATTGGGTAATTTCTTGAAATTTCATGATCAAACAGAAAACAACACAGTTCCTTGACAAGCAGACAACAAGGTTAATTTATTACAAATTACAGACATTTCACATCTAAAAAATGAATTCACTAAAATATAAAGGATACTTCGTTGAAATTTTCACACACACAAACTATCAAGGGTTCTAAAACTTTATCAAGCAACCTTCTCCTAAGCTTGTGTCCCCTACGTGAATGCTGTACAAAACGGTCTGATAAAGTGGGACCCCCACTTCATACTTAATGACTATTGAATGCATGTATGATTAAATTTGTATTTGTGTTATGAAGTTATAATAAGTGGGACATAAATAAATCCAATTATTTTTTAGACACACAATAATAGGTTATGTTTTTGCTTTTTCTGTTTCAGACATCCAATTGCTGTGTTCTTTCACATCTTCTTCAGGGCTGCAGCCTTGATCGCATATCTTCTTTGTGGATTATTTAGTTCAAGTTTTATCACAAACTTTGTAGTAATTATACTTCTATTATGTATGGACTTTTGGACTGTAAAGAATGTCACTGGTAAGTAAGCCTTTTTATTCAACCTTAACTCAAATGTAAGAATGGACTAATAAGCATATAGGCCAATTACCCAAACTTTTCTAGATGACCCATTCCGACTAATTTATTATTTTTTAATTGTTCTTTGAAAATTTGTTTTTGTAATTAATTGTAGGTAATTGGTATAGTATAATATTTAATAAGTAAATCTCATAGAGTAAACTATAAAGTATCTTTTTGGATTGAAAGGAACAAGAGTATATCATTAATATTATTGACACCGGAGTATTTTGGATGCTTATGATTCTCAAACATTTGATCCTTGCACCTGGACTGGAGAAAGTCTAATTGCAGAAATCAGCTTTTGTTGATACTGCCAGCTGCAGCCAGAAATGTGCCAATTAGAGAATTAGGTAATCTGAAAAAGCCACATCATCTGAAATGGATGTACACTAAACAAAAAAATGGCTATGAAATGACCAAGCAAAAATATGGTTAGGAAATGACCAAGCAAAAATATGGTTAGGAAATGACCAAAGAAAGAAATAGAAAAGTCTTCACAACATGGAGATGAATTATAATGTTTATGTTGTGTCCAATGAGTCATAGTGAAAATTGTCAAACAGCAAGGATTAGAACAATTGACCAGTGGAAAAATTATAAAGTACAAAAGCAGCCCTAAGAGTAGAAACTAGCATTCATCTGATTTTGTGCAATTTGAAAAAAATAAAATAAAACATCTAAAATTCTATTAAAAAGAATGATCTAGATTTACATCTACCATCTAAATTTAAGTCAATTAATCAGTGAAATTTGAGGCAGTACTAATAACTGGAAAAACAACAGAATAAGCACATAGGCCTCAATGTCAATCTACTTATTTAAGAATCTTACACTATAATTAATTATTATGCTATTTATACCCAATTTTTTTTTTTTTTTTAAAGTAAGTTCTTCACAGTACCAGTATAGGTCTAAATGGTTTGTGAAATAAACAAAAGTAAAACTTTTCTTAGTTAAATTTCGCCTTATGCAACAAGATCTCATTTCACAAAAGTTTATAATACATTGAATCACTTGTACAATCGCTAATTTTTTCAAAAGTAATGGAAGAGTATAAAAAATGCTATCTACTATCTGGATTCATTTTGGATAACGTCAGGCTGGTCCTTCTTTTAAGAGTTTTATCAGTTTCAAAACTTGTCATGGTTAAAATGATCAAATTGCAGCACAAATTGTTAAATTATTTTTTTCATCCGTATGCAGGTAGGTTATTGGTTGGATTGCGCTGGTGGAATTATGTGGACGAGAAAGGAGTAAGCCGTTGGATTTATGAATCGCGGAAGGTAAACACAAATGCTGATTTATGGGACAAGATGTTATAAGAACATTTAGAATTTGTTAGCCGTGTCCTAAGATAAAGCTTAATTTAAAAATATTAGAAGATGGTATCCCAGCATTGACTTAAAATTTATTTAGACACTATTTCATCTCAAATTTCAGGGTTCAGGTTCCATCAAAATTTCAGCGGCTGAAGCAAGAATATTCTGGTTATCTCTTGTCATTTGTCAACTTTTGTGGGTTGTGTTTTTCTTTGCTGCAATATTCCAACTCAGCTTTAAGTGGTTTGTAAGTTCCTTTGCTGACTTAACTAAATTAATTCTCTTCAACATTGGCTTGGTGTTTAGACTCTGGACACGACCTATGTAATCGGTGTTCAGACACTGGACATGACTACATGCTTGTGGCCAACGGTATCAATAAATAACATTGTTCTATTAAAACAGTTAAAAGGATTAGATTTTATTGTTCATTTCATTTTAACATCCCCAATTAAAAAAGTATGATTTCCAGAACAGTTACAAAATTTACTTAATTAAAAACTCATCGGTTTTTAACTTAACTTAACTAGACTTTTAAACAACTGTACATATCACAACTGTCTTCAGAGGTCTTTTATTTTCCAATTCACACCAAATAACCAAAACTTAACTCATTCCCGACGGTTGCTACTTAATGCGTCCTTTGGGGGTTTGACGGATGCGTCCAAATGCTTCCCGGCGCATAGCGACACACTTCTCTCAAGTCAATTTAAAAATAGCACTGAAATCTCACATCCCTCATGACTTCCTGCAATGGCATAATTCAGTGTGATTTCAATCATTTTTGGATGTATTTGTCCTTAAATCATTAACATTAATTAATATTTAGCAGCTTAAAAAATATTTTACAAATGTAAATCAATTGCAAGATGGAGTTACTTCCCTTTCTCAGGCATATACATTAATTATGGAAGTAGCACTGCCGTAAGGAATGAGTTAAAAGCTGTAAATCCCATCTAGGTAACAAACCAACAATTTGTTAATTTTTGTGTAATAATCTAATTCGTTTGATCTATTTTGAAAACAGGAATGCACTGTTTACATTTTATTCTTTTACAATTACAGCAAAAGACTTGTTTTGTACTTAATTTTTGATTTGGAAATGCAATAATTATTATAATAATTGAAATCAATTTTAATATGCCAGATGGTGGTGGTTGTTGGTTTCCTCATGAATGGAGCAAACTTGTATGGATATGTACGCTGTCGAGTTGGAGCCAAAAAAAATTTGTCGTCAGTAGCTACAAATTTCTTGTCCACACGTCTGTTTACATCAGTAAGTTTAATTAACTGCTTAGTAATCCCTCATAAAACTAAGGCATAATAATAAGATAAAACCTATGGAGAAAGCTACCTAAAAATTAAAAAATTTTTTTTTACAATGAACATGGAAACTTTACAATCTCTTTTTATATTGTCAGATGTTATCATCTGCGGCATCACAAGTGTCTACAGCAAATACAGAAGAAACGAGGTCATCCAGGGGAACCGACCAGCATTAACATGTGTTTATGTGATAATATAATTCATTTAATTTATATATTTCAAAAACTAATGAGCTTAAACATTTAAGACGAGAAAAGTTAATTAAATAATAAAAATTAAAGATTGGGCTGTTTTAATTTTGTGCAATTTCTTTCCTCAAATAGCACGTGGGTAGCACTTTTTACTGGAACAAAAGTAACTAATGAAAAAAATGTATCAGAAACAGGATTTTATGTTTGTTAATTGGAGCAAACATAATCGTTGAGGATGAGTTGTATCTCTGTATGCCACTTAGCTGTGCCTGATGCCAGCTTTGAGGATGAGTTGTATCTCTGTATGCCACTTAGCTGTGCCTGATGCCAGCTTTTAGGATGAGTTGTATCTCTTTATGCCACTTAGCTGTGCCTGATACCAGTTATGTAAGTGCTTGTAGTTGTTTTCATAATTTTGTAAAAGCTTTGTTTTCATTGTATGCTTGCAAAATAAAATTCATTTTGACTATTATTGTGCAATAAACTGTTTCTTCATATTATAATAAATCCATTAGATTACCATCACTACAGGTAAGAGCACTGCATAAATAAAACAATTTCAATAGTGGAGCAGTTTTTCTCTCTATAAATTACAATGTGTTTGCTGGGGTTATTAACTATTAATTGAACAAATCTCAACTTTCAATGGTATGCAGCTTATTTTATTGACTTTAAATTTGATTACTTAATCAAGGTAACTTTATGAAGTTAATATGAATATCTGTATGGAAAGGAAGCAAGTGGCATTAGTATTTATAATGATGTTTGCCAGTTGATTATGCCATGATGTTTATATTCATTTAATCAACTATAATCCTGTATATGTATAATGTTTTGATGCTTTAATTTTAATAGCCTTACCATGTATATCTCAATGTCACACTGAAGGGGTGGAACTATATTTAATTTAAATTCTCGTGCAACAGAAACTGAGTTTAAAACTTTTAAAAAAAACATTACATTCCTTGCAAATGAATACATTTGATGCTGTTAACTTAACATTTTTAGTTACGCTATTTGATTTAAAAAATCTCTTATTTTGAAAGTGACTTTTGTTTTTGTTCCATTATTTATTTTTTTGGGGGGTTGAAAAGAAGTGTGTAGTGAAAAAAAAGGATGAATATTCTTTTCACATTTACAACTGAACATGACAGCATTCATGGGTGGCTTGAAAATGTTGAAAGGAATATTTGCAGTGGTATAGTTATTTCATAGTTCATTGTTTTTAATCTGTTTAAAATATTCTACGACCAACAGTTATTAATGGTATTAACACCAGTTGTTGAGGGTATTTATTCAAACAGGGGATTGTTAATTTTGTTGAATGCATGTTTGGAGATGAATCTGATGAAAGTAATCTTATATTATCTAATGTTAGCTAATTAAATTCCAGTGGAACCATTGTTTACAAGATTTTCAAGCTCTTGTAGGTATGTCCTCGTTTTATTGCCAATGTAAGTGAATTCCCAATAGAACTATTGTGAATGCTACTTTTTATTAATCCAAAAAAAAAATATGATTCAACTTTTATTTAAGCAAATTCTTTTTTTTTTTTTTTGTCAAATAGATCCGACTAGCATAACTGTAAATGTAAAATTTAAAACTGAATATGAAGAGTCTATGGCTCTTTTTGTATATTTTAATGTTGGTATTTTGTACAAAGTGTATGAAATTTTAATTTTTTAAAATAAAATTTTACTTCTAATAATTCTTTTAACTTATTGTTCTGATACAATGCATTTTGACAACCATGACACTCACATTTGCTCTGATACAATGCAGTTGAGACAACCATGACACTCAAATTTGTTCTGATACAATGCAGTTGAGACAACCATGACACTCACATTTGTTCTGATAACAATGCAGTTGACAACCATGACACTCACATTTGTTCTTATACAATGCAGTTGAGACAACCATGACAATCACTTTTTTCTGATACAATGTATTTTGACAATCATGACACACACATTTGTTCTGATACAATGCAGTTGACAACCATGACACTCAGTTTTGTTCTGATATAATGCATTTTGACATCCATGACACTCACATTTGTTCTGATACAATGTATTTTGACATCCATGACACTCACATTTGTTCTGATACAATGCAGTTGAGACAACCATGACACTCACATTTGTTCTGATACAATGCAGTTGAGACAACCATGACACTCTCATTTGTTCTGATACAATGCAGTTGAGACAACCATGACACTCACATTTGTTCTGATACAAAGCAGTTGACAACCATGAAACTCAAAAATATATTGATACATTTTATTTTAATGATCTCTTTAAAAAAAAAAATTGGACAGAACGGATTGAAATCATCAAATGGTGAGTAAATTGAATTTCACAAACTTTGTTTCTCGACTTGGCTTTTTAGTTCAGTTCGTGAAGTTTCAAAACCTTCCCATGGGTCTTTTGATTTTCTCATTTCTGTATGCAGTAACCAAACCCGATAAAAATTTAGAAAGTTCTGGAAGCTGAGCTGAAAAGGCTCCGATAAATAAAAGCTGGTTTTGTCTTTACTTTTTTCCTACAAAGAAAAATTAAATAACCTTTGTATTATTTTTATTTATAATCTGAAGAATTCATCTACCAATTGTAGGATTTAAAACATGAGAATTAGTTAAAAGTAATTACCACCATTATTGTCACTGGACTTCTCAAACATTTAAGTCAGCTTGTAAAATTTCCCATGGAGGGTAAAAGAATTTCAAAGAGACGTACAAGTATAGAGCATTTCATTGAATTGTGCGACAAGAATTTTCCATTATTCAATCTTGTAGATATATATAGGATATAGTAATGCCTTCCATCTTAAAAAATTCAATTTTGAACAATTCTGAAGAGCATGTAGAGAAATACAGTGTCAAAATCTTCCAACTTACCGCTTCTATTATCTTCATTTTGGTCCAAGCTATTGACTTCTCAATGACCGCAATGGTCTCCTTGACAGGCTTCAAACAAAGCTTGTCCAAAGTTTTTAGCATGTGAAGTTTGTAAACATAATTGGAGCGTGAGATATAAATAAAGTGGCCAACTATCTCTGCATTAGGTTCAAGGTTGGCCGCCTGAAAAATGAAAATTTTAAAATGTGGGCGTTAACTAATAAATTAATTCACATATTTAAAAATGGCATTTGGAATACTGTGCATAGATACAGAGATACAGATACCTTCTCTGCAGGTTAGCCAGAGGCTTACATTTTCAAGTCAAACAAATTGATTGTCATGAAAATCAATATCAATAATTACTTATGGAATTCTTGTGACCAACAAAATAGTCTTAACGTGGCTTAGATGGGATTACAAATAAAGTTTGAAATACCCTCATGTCCTCAATAAGCTTGTGAGCTTGACTTTCTTTATGGCATGCAAGTGCCAGGGCAGCATAGGTCCTCATGTTAGGAGTCAGTTTTAGTTTGGACATGACTGGCAGAAGTGCCTGTAAGAAAATAACATTCATCAGCTAAAGGTCATCTTGCGTGCGTGAATTACAAAAGCTTTGAAAATAACTAAAACAGACCTATTACTGTTATTAGAATTTGATCACAGCTGGTATAAGTATAAATGTATATCACATACATCATTATTATCACTTGATATAAGTGGCACACATTTTAAGTAAAAAAAAAAAAGAAAAAAAAATCATTATGCTTTTTTAATCCTTAATGTCTCTACAGTTTGAGGTAAAAAATTAAAAAAGCTTTGAAAATAACTAAAACAGACATATTACTGTTATTAGAATTTGATCACAGCTGGTATAAGTATAAATGTATATCACATACATCATTATTATCACTTGATATAAGTGGCACACATTTTAAGTAAAAAAAAAAAAAGAAAAAAAAATCATTATGCTTTTTTAATCCTTAATGTCTCTACAGTTTGAGGTAAAAATATATTTATTTAACAACAGATTGAAAAAACTATCCTAAGCTTTTTATTGCATACTTTTTAACATATTAAGTACAATTTTATATAAAATTTTCAAAGATATTATGATAAAGTTTGGACAAGAGCTATGTTTGCCAACAGATTTCTGAACTTTTCCAAGCAAACAAGCATTAAAAAATAAAATCACTGAGAACCAACCATGACGGTATCACTTTTGTGTCTCTTGTTTCGTCTCATCATGATGTCATTCAACAGATCGATATCTGGTGTAATTCCATTGGTTGTCATGCAGGTCAAGAGTTCAAACTCGCTGACTTCGTCATCAGGCAAACATGCCAGAATTTGAGTAAATGTTTTCACATCTGGTGGGGCACCAACTTCATTCATGTGTGTGACCAGATTTCCCAAGCCTCCAAGCACTGCTAAGCGACCTTGAGGATTTCTCAAGTCTTTCACCGATATGTTCCTCGACAGACCTTCTTGCAAAGCGTTATCTGTACTTCCTGTGGTTAGAACTTCTGAATACAATTGACATGTCGTGTCTGACTTTGAACTTTCACATGATTTATGGATTTCTTCAGGCCCTGTTGCTAAAGTCAATTCTCTACAGTCAGTGACAGTAATATTTTCAGAAATTTTATTGCTGCTAGTTGACACAGCCACAGTGTGTTGATCATCAACTTTAGTGAGTTTAACCATTTCTTTTTTATTGGCATTCAACCCCGTCTGTGGTTGAGGATTTGAAGACCCGGCCGTCAAACGATTTATTTTCTGAGCTTGGGGGATCTTGTCCCTCCAGGATTTCATTACAGCTCCGTCCCCGAGGATGCATGCGTCTCCGATTAAACTGACATCTGGTAAACTTAAACCAAGAGACTTGGCGAAAGTTGTTGGGTCCCCAATACCACAGTCTCTAGCACATCTAATTAACAGATTATACGTGTTCGTGGCTGGCTTAACTCTGTAAACATTTAACTTTTGCCAGACCTGGAGGAAACGGAAGGAGAAATAAAATTTAATTGTACTAACAATATCAATAACATAAAAATAAAAAGTAAATGTCTAAAGACTAACCACAAAAATGGGTAATGACTTTAAGCGGCTTGAATAGTTGAGGTATTATGTCTGGAGTGCACTAGCCATTATTTATTAAAGAAATATCACAATATTTATATTTTTAATAAACTATTCTCATTATATTGTTCCAAATAAATTTCATGCATTGATCACTAATTATGAATGCTATTGTTATATTGTTTAGCAGTTTGTAAAAAAAATTAAAATCACATTTAGAAAAGCATGGAGAGTATTTTCATTAGCCTAGTAAATCAATCTATATCAAGAAAATGATTATACCTGTAATGCTCTCAGGAAGCCCTTTTGCTTGTCAGCTGCACACGCAATAAGAAGGTGATTAAAACAGTCAGAGTCCAGCCTTGCCCAAGTGGAGGCTCTGTCCATTAATGTAAATGCCATAGGAAAATCTCCACACAAGGCGAACGCCTTCATGGCAGCTTTAATTGTGAAGAGGTTGGGTTTGATTCCTTCATCTTGCAAATAGTGGAGAAGATCTTGGGCTTTCCGCAACCCATCGGCTGGGTATGGTGAGTTTGCACAGGCATTGAATAGACTTGTATAGATGTGATCCTCTGGGTCAAGGCCCAAATGTTTCATCTACAATCGAGAGGAGAAAGAATTATAAAAATCTTGATCCATTAACATTTTTTCAAATTAAAGAATTTATAATGTTGTATGCAAACTGCAAACATAAGATTGATAACCTAAGGCAATCTATTTATAACCCAAATGTATGTTGTTTAAGTTTATCTTTATATACTAGGAAAGGTTTAACATTGCCATTCAAGTTCATAATAAGGTTAAGATTTCAGTTTAAAGTTAAATTTGGATATATAAAATTTTGAATTAAAAAAAAAAAAATTATGTTTAAGCTAAAACATAAACTTAATAATGAGAATCAGATTTTTAACATACTAGCTCATAGGTGTTGTGATGTTTTATTTATTCTTACCTTTGAATATAATTCAAAAGCTTTTTTAGTGTATCCCACTCTGCCCAAAATGCCAATCAATACGATGAAAGTTCGTTTGTTGGGCATAACTCTGTCCCTAAGCATCATTATATCTTCAAACATGGAAATAGCTTCTTTGACCTAAAAAAAATTATAAGAAATTTAATTAACACATTCACTTGTTCTATATTAGGATTAAGTAGTAAAACATATTAGTATAAAGAAAGTAACATTAAAGCCGCCATCTTGAACAAGCAAATAGTTTTTTAAAACATCTACTTGGTTGTTATTACATTAGTGGCTATGGCACTATTATACAAAAATTAATTTGAAATAATAGTAAGTGGATATCTATTCAAATTAAATTTCAATAAACTTGATTCCCACCTTGCCTTCTCGGCCTAAAATAGACATTTTCCTGGTGTAGTAGAAAGCATTCTTTCCTATTCTGCCGTCTCTAGTTAAAGGAATATCTAATCTACGATCCCTGGGTTCATCCTGATCCTCTGGTAAAGCTTCTTCTAATCTAAACGAAATATTTCAGTGCTTTAAAATTAATTGATTTTACAAATAAAAACAATAAAGAGAACAATTAAATCAATGCCTATTAAATCTATACTAATATTCTTGAAATTTATGCTGGTGGCACAATATGGAGTTAATCAAAAGACCTCTTTTAGTAGATATTATTGGTAGAGTAATTGTTTTGGAGTTTTTAGACTGCATGCACACTGGAGGCGACTTCAAATTGAGCTGTTGCTTGAAGTATAGTATAACAAATCAGTTTTTTTAGTTTCATTTTAATTTAAACCTCAACCAATTTGAAAATAAGGTACAAAATGCTTATAAAATGGATATTATGAACACAAACTGTGCATTCCCTGCATGTTTCTTCTTAAAAAAGAAAGGTGCAAATTTATCCACCTTTGATGAAAACACACAGGGTTTCTCACTGAGTTTTGTTTTTTTATAATCACAGTAAAAAATGAGCACATCTACCTTTCATTAGGGTCTCTTAAATCCATCTTTGATGACTCTGTTGCCAGTGTGCCAAAAGCATCAGCAGATAGCAAATTTTGTTTTCCATGGACTTTTACCGCATCATCTTGTGCAACAGACGTAGTAGATATATGGCTCAGCCATGTCTGTTTAAAATACTCTGATGTTGAATACTTTTTATTATTTTTGACATTGAAGGACTTTATTGGCTTAGAAGAATCATTTGAGATTTCAGTATTAATTGGCTTTGATGTGATCACCGCTGGGTTTTTATCCCCTAACAACTCTGTCTGCTTGGCAGGATTTAACATTTTCTGTGTATTCTTTTTAAAATTTGTAGATTGATTTTTTTCCAGTGACTGTTGGCTCGTAGAGAATTTTGAATTCAACACATTTAGGTGAAAATACAATATTTTCCTGTTAAATGTGAAGATATTATGCCTTCGGGATAACATTAACAATTGTGCATGAGCCATGCTGAGTAGTGAAACATATGTTGCCATTTGTCGGTCCAACAAAGCAAAGATACTATGGTTAGGTCTCCAAAAGTTCAAAAAAGTGCATTTTCCATGACATCAATAAATTAGTATTCTTCAGACCTAAAGGAGAAAATTATTCATTATAAAGCTTTACAAATTTAAGGTGATTAATTTGATATTTTTAATTACATTTTTGTCATCCCACTAAGACCACTTCCTACTGAGTTACTAGTTTAACTTACTTCAATAATTCACTAAAGCCAGAATCAAAATGAACTATCGTTATAAATAAAAAGTTCTCTATAAATTATAGTATAGTGCCTTAGCCCAATGGATTGGAGAATTGATTTAAAAACTTACTTCAATAATTCACTAAAGCCAGAATCAAAATGAACTATCGTTATAAATAAAAAGTTCTCTATAAATTATAGTATAGTGCCTTAGCCCAATGGATTGGAGAATTGATTTAAAAAAACCTTAGACCTAGCCCAATCTCAATCACTGTCAAACCAGTGGAAGCAACCTATGTCCATGGCCATAGCCGCCATAGGCATATGTCTGGAGAGACATGCAGCTCTTTGAATAGATGACAGATGGATGCAGCTTTATTTATATTATTAATTTATTTTTATTGACTGTCGGTGTACAATATCAATAACAAATGCATCATTATTCATACATGTATGAGGTAAGAATAATATTGCATTCTATCTAATCAGTAACTAACTTAAGTCTTTAACTTTAACAAGTTAAGGCAACCTTTCTGTTATTTCTGTGGGACTAGTGTTAGTGGGAGTGTTAGATTATCCATCCACCACTCAGTGCCACCACCATTAATCAGAATCAAGTATTAATCATGTCAATGACAATACGACTTTAAAATATAATTTACCCTTTTCATGAAAAAAAACCCACTCTGCAGTTGGCAGAAAATGCCATCCTTATAAATTAAAAATGTGCCATCAGAGGAGCACAGCCCCTCGCCCACATCTCCCCCCCCCCCCCATAGTGCCCATACTCCATACATAAGTTAAGTTTATAAGTATAAGTTAAGTCAAGTTTTTCTATCTATTTTCTCTATAACAATTATTCTTTTATGCCATCCTTATAAATTAAAAATGTGCCATCAGAGGAGCACAGCCCCTCGCCCACATCTCCCCCCCCCCCATAGTGCCCATACTCCATACATAAGTTAAGTTTATAAGTATAAGTTAAGTCAAGTTTTACTATCTACTATCTCTATAACAATTATACTTTTGATAATCTGTCTCTAATAATATTTTAGCGGGATTAATTATTTTATCATGGAACTATATTAAAAGTATTTTTTAAAGTAAAATACCATGTTGGAATGCATCAAATTTTACGAGATCCTTTAAGTACATTAGCATGAATCTTTTGTCTTTCACGGCGATATTGTGGTAAATCAAGGAGAACTCTTCTGTTTTTTAAAATTATGTTATAAAGGTTGCCTAATTGGTTGTATCTAGATTTAAATAAATGTATTTATTTTATAACTTTATTTAACTATGTCGAGGTGTCCGATATTTCTTTTAAAATTAAAACCAGTTTGGGGGGGGGGGGTAGACAAGTTTAATAGGCATAAAATAACTAAAATAAGGCATAATAAGTGTGGAGACTTAGGTTACTAGTTGGTAGGTCCTAGGGCTAAAATAATAATTATTATTTAATGAATTTGATTATTTTATTGTTCGGTTGATTTTGGGTTAGCGGGTCGGCGATGTGTTAATAGGTCACGGAGGTTCCCCCAGGTCAGTCAGTGGCTCTTTAATTAACGACCTCAGTGCGGCTTGGCCAGAAATCGTGTTTGACTCCGAAAAACATGGTTCTTTAAAAGAATTTTCGCTCTCAAAAAATTTTAATCGTCCTGATTTGTGCTCTTTTGACTACTGAGTTTTCCGACCACTGCCCAAGTCAAGTTCCATCTATAGCGCTATATTATTCACAAGATTTCGATTTTTATATGTTTGTGTTCACTAAATGAACTTATTGCAAGATTTTTGTTTTCTTATTTTATATATATTTTTTAAAAAAGGGGTAGGGGAGTGTCTCCTTCTGTTGTATTCAACCAACAATTAGGTAGGTTTTAGTTTTATAAATAATATTAATATTAATAATATTCTAGTCCTCATTATTAATGATTATTTTAGCAGGAATAAACTGAGGAATAAAAGAGTAGCCGTATGTCATTAAAAGCATTACGAAAAAAATAATTTAATTCAGTTTTTAATGTAAATTAATCCTTGTATTATAATTATATGGGAAGAAATCCAGTATAATTTAGTATAAAGTTTTGTATGGCTTACCTGTTAAAATTTACTTTGGTTGTTAATATGTTAAGTAAGGCAATCTGAATCTGTTGATGTTCTTTCTTTTCTTCACTGCACACAAAATGTTTGTTTGATTCCTGTAGAAAATCAAGAATTTATTGATTTAGAAAATTTTATGGTTTTCAGAAAAATGTTCAAAATAAATATGTGTGCCAAAACTGTTTAAACAGTGTGCACTGTAAAAACCTTATCTTCTATCAAATTTATTTTTGTAAATATATGTATTATTATTGGGTCTCTACAGGGATATAGTTTTTTCCTGAAGGCGATTGAAATTGATGTAAATGCAAAATATAAATCCTGAAGTCAAGTAGAGTTTTGTCAAAACGGGTCAAGTTAACCATCTTGGTAAGTGGTATGGAGGATTTTCTTCTTAGGAATGATTGAACCATGTCAGGTTTTGAATGGTCAAGTGAGTTATAAATTGGTATATTGAGAGGGTTTACAGGATTATCGCATTCCTTAATTTAACATTTTTATAAAATTATCCATATCATTCTTGGATTTCAAAACTTATTCAAAATTTTTGTTTTGTTTACGACCCTATTAATAATAGTATTATTTTCATTCATCAAAACATTTATTTTTCTGATCATGGTATTTGATCATGTGTGATTTATTTTTGATATTTATGTGTGATATATAACTGCTGTTAGCTTAAGAGATTTAAAAATAAATACACGATATCATCCCTTTGACCATAAAAAGTTGAAAGGGATAATTTTTGTTTCGGTCACTGATAATTATAGAATTACACGTGTGCCTCATTTCGACTACTATTAATACTATTATTAAGTTGCGGAATATAGGGATTTTTCTACTTGAGTGACATTTTAAACACACCCAAAATATTCAAACTTAAAGATTTAAATTTTCAATTTAATCGAACTTTATTAACTGCGATGGTAATATATGGTCAAACGTATTTAAGTCTCACATACACAGGTAAAGTTATATAATTCATGTCTCCATCTGTAAACAAATATTTGGAATTCTCCCATTTACAATTAATTAAATGATACAATTATTTCTCACTGAATTCTTCAAATTATATATTTTTTTAAATTAGCCAAGCTAATCAAGTTTCGTCCCACCTTCTCCCCCAAAAAGCCATTGAATTAATATAACAACTTGACATAACAATTTCAAATCCTTGGTTATGTCTAAATCAATTAGCTTTGATTTTTGCAAATGTATATTTTTTACTTTCTGTAAACAAGAATATTTAATATTGGCCAGACAGCATTATAAAATCGAGGTGTATCCATACAATGCTGAGATGCTGTATCGTTCATACCAAGTTTTAACCCCCCCCCCCTCTCTCTTTTTCTTTCTAATTCAATCGCTTAATTTGAACTCACAGCATGCAACAGTGGGATTACAACAAAAAAAAAACAAAAAAAAACAACAACAACAACTAACAGTGGATGAGTGGAAATAAAAAAAGGCAATAAAAAGAATTCTAGCAGTAGGTTATGTATAATTAACTTAAATATGGAATAAATGTTAGAGGCATAATCAATTAACCTATGATTTTATTATAATGAAATTACACGTGTTTAAAACGACAATTATCTATACCGCAAAAATATGTTGTTTTTTTTATATTGATGTTGGCTGAATAATGCCAGAAAAATCCGATTGCTTCTTAGCCTGTTCTTTTCTTATTGTAGGCTACATACTGTCACTGTAAAATACAGAATGGTTATGCTGCCCGCTCTCGTCATTTTGTCAGTTACATGGCCCACTGTGAACACTTAATTTTTTTTACACTAGAGTGTAGATTAACACGAACTTTGGAAAAGGGGGGGGGGGTCGGTATATTTTTAAATTAAACAAAAAAAAATAAATACAATCCAAAATTCTTTTAAAA